TGTTACTTAGACCTGTTTTGGAAGTACATACCGGCCTTAGTGGCAGTAATGACGATAGTTGCTCAGCGAAACTCCATTATTTGAACATATTTTGACATTATTAAGCTTGAAAAGCTGGTGAACGGCAAGTTGAACGGCTGCTTCCTGGGCTTAAAGGAGAATCGCCATATTCAACGTCTCCTGTAAGCCCAGACTCTGGTTTGTGTGTGACTGTTTTAGGGACATATTAAGCCTCTGCTACAGCCTTTCACCTCAAAGTGAATGAAGCCTTGAGCCGAGGTTAGGGAAACATTAGCCAATGGTATAGACCTCGACGTTACTGTTGATAATAACTGAACTTACAAGTTACTAACTGTATACATGATGATGGTGAACTTGTGGGGGGGGCTAGGGAAATGTAGGCTTACATGCTGACGTGCTTGTACATCACTCCTCCCCTCCAGAAGATCGAGGATACCGAGAGGTCCAACACCGAGAAGATGTCTAAACAGAAGGTGGATCTTCAGTCTCTCCCAACACGGGCATATCTGGACCAGACTGTGGTACCGGTCCTCCTACAGGGGCTCTCTGTGCTAGCCAAAGAGAGGTGGGCTACAATAAGTCACATTTTTATAAAAGTCCTTTTTTGGTACATCAAAAATGCTTTACAGATACCCAGCCTAAAAACCTGAAAGAGCAAGCAATGCAGAAGCACGATGGCTAGGGAAAAACACCCTAGAAGGCAGGAACCTAGGAAGAAACGGAGGAAGCAGGCTCCAATACATTTCCTTTCCCTGTCTCACATGCTGTATAACCTCCAGTCTCGCAACATCAGCCTGTGTTGTGTGGTGAGGCTGGGCTCTGAAATAAATAATAATAATAATATGCCATTTAGAAGACACTTTTTCATGCGTGCATACATTTTTTTGTGTATGGGTGGTCCCGGGGATCGAACCCACTACCCTGGCGTTACAAGCGCCGTGCTCTACCAGCTGAGCTACAGAGGACCACAGATACCCGCACACCTGAAGAATACCCCTTGTTGTTTTTAATTGGCTGCTGTGCCAAAATAAATAAAACCCATTTCAGTTGTCTCTGTATAATGGAGCAGTAAAGATATTGTATCGTGTTATTTGATGATTTTTGTATTCATCCTCTTTCCCTTCCAGGCCTCGTAATCCCATTGAATTTCTAGCTGCACATCTCCTCCAGAACAAGTCTCAATATGAGGACCGCATCTAGACGTCTCTGAAGAAACTACACTGGTCGACTTGTCATCCGAGACGAGATGTGTTTCATTCTGCATCCGAATTGTAAAGTGTTTTTATTTTATTATTATTACTGTGTACTGATTTTATTATTTTTGTTGAAGAAACTTCTTTTTTTTTTTTTTGGGTTTCTGTAATTGACTGTACATGTTACGGAGCGTGTTCCTTCCCCATGTGTACCCATTAAACATCCGTGACTGATATCAAATGTCTTGATATTCTGAGAGATTTACCGTGTCAGAGCATTCTGCGTTCATAAGAGAACCAAATGTCAGTCATTGGAAGTAAAACGTTCCTCGTTAAAGCAACTGTCAGCTAAATCATTGCTAGTAAACTGTGCTTGACTTGGGATTAAAATAGCTGTCATTTTCCAAGTCGGTCCATTGAAACTATGTTCACTGAAATTCACAAATGTCATTATGCTATATACAGACCTCTGATTATTCACTGTTAAGGGTTCGTACACATTTTCCATGACTTCTCCATGACTTTTAACCACATAGTCATGGCTATTATTATAGTCTACATTGTTGACAGTGGAAGGCTGCTGTGTCTTGTCTCCTGCGCTGGTGCCCTTGTCAACATGTGGTCAACCCTTCCATCTGGAGATCTCCTGGGTGTGCAGCCTTGGCCTTTTGATCCAGCCCTGAAACACCCAAGGCTGCTTATCAAGGTCCTGTTGAGAGGCTGATGTTTAGGCTACAATGTGGTTAGACCAGGACTTGGAACAAAAGCCTGCACACCCAGTAGCTATCCTGGAGGATGGCTGCCACACTTGATATAAAATATAACCAAATACTTTTCTTTATAAAAATGATTCCCTCATTTCAGGATGAAATGGAAAAGGTGGGCTACTTCAAAGCAAGGAACAGTATCTAACTAGACACGTTTATATACAGTTGGCTAGTTAACTAGCACGATAACTGCTACAAGTTATGTTTTGAATTGGTTATCTGGTTAGTCTGTCTGTCATTATTTTATACCTGCTGCTGAAATATCGCTCGCTACCTTGTAGGCTGTTTCATAGGTAAAGCTCTTTGCAGGTAGATTAGCAGTCAGTGCGTTATATGATCAAGTCTGGTTGGGGTCTATTCCTGGCAGGCCGATCAGATTCATTATCAGCCTCAGAGGCTGATAAGTCAGGATGCTGCCTTGTAGGCTGTCTGCAAGGAGCCTTACAGCCTCCCGAGTGGTGCTGTGCCACTAGAGATCCTGGTTCGAATCCAGGCTCTGTCGTAGCCGGCCGCGACCGGGAGACCCGTGGGGCGGCGCACAATTGGCCCAGCGTTGTCCAGGGTAGGGGGAGGGAATGGCCGGCAGGGATGTAGCTCAGTTGGTAGAGCATGGCGTTTGCAACACCAGGGTTGTGGGTTCGATTCCCACGGGGGGCCAGTATGAAAAAAAATTAAAGAATAATAATGTATGCACTGGATAAGAGTGTCTGCTAAATGACTGAAATGTAAATATGAAACAGTCTAAAAGGCAGCCTCCTGATTTATCAGCCTCTGAGGCTGCTAATGAATCTGATCAGCCTGCCAGGAATAGAGCTCACCCCCTGGATCAGATATACATCTGCCTATAAAGCACTTTGACAACTAATCTGCCTACAAGGCAACATTCTGACTTATCAGCCTCTGAGGCTGAAATTGAATCTGATCAGCCTGCCAGGAGTGGATCCCACCCACTCTGTAAATTTAAATATTATCCTCAAAGCATTAAGTGTCCCTTACAGTTATACACATATCAGTTACGCAAGCTAAGAACCTGCATAGATAACAAGACTAGCCACGTTAGCTGCGTTGTTGATTGCATGCAATTGGCTGTGGACTTCGGGGTGGCACGTTCACGCTTGCTAACGTTCTAATTTATAAATTGATAATGAGCTCCAAACACAAATTAAAGCATGGTGTTAGCATGAAATGTACCATCCCTTTAGTGTAGCAATCAATAAAAACGTATGCGCTGATCCACCGTGTGCTCTGCCGCCTCATCCATACTGGCAATCTATCATCAAGACATCCACTTCTATTTATAGAGTTTTACTCATGATCTTGAGAAAACAACTTTTGTTATATCGTCACGAGAAATGTATCTTGTGATCTCGACAAAACAACTTTTGTTATGTTGTGATCATGAGAAAAATAAATTGTAATCTGACATAACAAGGGAATATTATAGTGTTTTTTTATTTATTAATATGTCCTCTCTGGACTTCCGTACTGGACATCCGTACAATTCCCCCAAAATTAGACATGCTTCTACAGCGCTCTGGACAGCTCTGGCCCAAGTCAATCACTGTCAGTAAGAAAAGACAAGTGCATCAAGTGTTATGACGCCAATAATATGCCAAATATATGGTTTTATTTCCATTGTACAGTATTATAAAAGAAAAAGTACATGGAATTGACAGTGGTGTGTGAATACCTAATAGTTTTATGTTTCCTTGGCTTAGTTTAGACCTAAACTCTGCTGCTGCAACGCTCGTAAGAGAATCGACCAATCCTAACGCTTTTCTTTGGACCATTAATGTCGCCCAGGCGCCCATTTAGGCCTGTTTTGCACCGGTTGAAAGTTCATTGCATTCCTTTTGGAACTAAAACCCACTGCGAAATCGGTTCAAACAAAGTGACGTGGGGGCACGTGGAGTAATGAGTAGGATTCTTTGTTTTCACATGCAAAAGTGATTGCTTTTTAGCTTTATCTGCCTTCCCGAATGAAGACGAGATAGAAAATTAAAACATTTATTTAATGGTAAAGAGATGTTGTATGTTTCTGGATGATGCACCATGCTGCCTTGTTGGCAAAATGGCCGAGTGGCACAGATTAGCCCGATGATGTAACGGGCCGCTGCCCGGTGCCCGCCGCTCAGCATAACCGAATCCGCACATTTATACACAACAATGGGCGAGTTCGTTTTGCATGGTCCAGTGCCCCTGGTGGGCGGAGTTTGTATATTTTAGACCATTCCATTGGTCCTTAAGTGAAATCTCCAGGCACCCGGGGGCACCGGGCTATGCCGTCCTGAAGAAGGCCAGAAAGTGCACGGTTTGCATTCGGCAAAATCAACCTTGTACCATGATTTCATTTAATTGAGAATTACAGGATAAGCAACACCTTCACGCGAGTTCTATGCGGGGAATGTCTCCCATGCATGTGCAAGCCCTGGTAGTTTGCCGTGACCTTATAGTGGTCCCGTGTAGCTCAGTTGGTAGAGCATGGCGCTTGCAACGCCAGGGTTGTGGGTTCGATTCCCACCAGTATGAAGAAAAAAATAATGGGAAAAAATGTATGCACTCACTAAGTGTAAATCGCTCTGGATAAGAGCGTCTGCTAAATGACTAAAATGTAGTGGTTAGTACTCTGCGTTGTGGCAGCTGCAACCCCGGTTCGAATCCGGGTCACGGCATTGCGGTACACAATATTACGGCAAAAGGGCTCTTTATGAATGGGTTCAAAACTTCATAACTATGTAATCACATCTATTCAAGTAATATCATATTTGCGTGCCGGCGAAACCGAGTATACACACTTTCTACAGGTGGGTCATAGCCACGCCTACAACATTTTTTTACGAATAGTTTCTTTGCATTCTCTTCGAGCAACCAATCCACGCAGCCTTACGTCATTTTTAGAAAACGTTTAACCCCGCCCTTTACCTGCCACGAAGAAGCAACGAATCGGCGTCCTCTGAAATATGCTGCCAGCCAATGGCTGTTAGGTCGATTCTGACGCACTAACGTAACAGGCGTAACAAGACGCTACGAGCGATCCCGAGTTACGCAACCCCCAGTTTTAGTCAAGTCAGTGGTGCTATTTTGGCAACCAACAGACACACTGCATTGAGCTTTTGTTCGTCCGTAACTATCGTTTCAAATATCGTATTTTAAAGTAGCCTGCTGGCTAGCTATCAAACAGACTAACTTTTCTCAGCATTTTTATCTAGCTGGCTAACTTCCTATTTTTTGCATTCCTTCTTTGTCTAGCCGACGTTTGTTTTTTGTTGGTGGTTTCTTTCTGGCCAGTTGTTTTCCCCCTGGGTTTGGACTTTTTCTTCCTGACCAGGTTCCAACAGGCAGCTCGGGAGTTGAGATGTCGAACCGAACAGTGTGCAGAGAAGCAAGTCACGCTGGCAGTTGGTACGCCGCCTCAGGTAGAGAACTGAACCGGGGAATGGGCTAGAGACCAGGGGTTATCTAACCAAGCTAGCTAGCTAGCTAGCTGCAGACAGCTCTCTGTAGTGTTTGGGTTGAGACTGGTCTCTCTTTGGGCTGTTGTCCTGGGAAGTAACTATACTGAACAAAAATATAAACACACCAATTTCAACGATTTTACTGAGTTACAGTTCATATAAGGAAATCAGTCAATTGAAATAAATAAAGCCCTAATCTATGGATTTCACATTGACTGGGAAGGGGCGCAGCCATGGGTGGGCCTGGGAGGGCATAGACCCACACACTTGGGAGCCAGGCACACCCACTGGGGAGCCAGGCCCAGCCAGTCAGAATGAGTTTTTCCCAACAAAAGGGCTTTATTACAGACAAACAGAAATACTCCTCAGTTTCATCAGCTGTCCGGGTGGCTGGTCTCAGATGCTGGCTGGTGTTGTGAGGCAGGTTGGACATACAGCCAAGTTCTCTAAAATGATGTTGGAGGTGGCTTATGGTAGAGAAATTAACATTAAATTCAATGGCAACAGCTCTGGTGGACATTCCTGCAGTCAGCATATCAATTACACGCTCCCTCAAAACTGGAGACATCTGTGGCATTGACAAAACTGCACATTTTAGTGGCCTTTTATTGTCCCCAGCACAAGGTGCACCTGTGTAATGATCATGCTATTTAATCAGCTTCTTGATATGCCACACCTGTCAGGTGGATGGATTATCTTGGCTAAGGAGAAATGCTCATTAACAGGGATGTAAACAAATTTGTGCACAAAATTTTAGCTAAAGCTTTTTGTGCATATAGGAAAATGTCTGAGATCTTTTATTTCAGCTCATGAAACCAACACTTTATATGTTGCGTTTATATTTTTGTTCAGTATAGATAGGTTGCTAGCTAGTTGGCTAATTGAGTAGGAGAGAGGTGAGGAATTATTTTATATTATAGGAAAGCACAACAGGCCGTGCTCTCCCAATCAGCTGTCTCAGAGCAACAAAGCCTGCATTGGTTTTTTCCTCCTGTCCTGGTGAGATGAAATGGCCTGATCATATAAACCCTGGATTGCTGATGCCATGTATTGGCCATGGAGAGGCTCTGAAACCACTGGTCGGCCATATTGTCACTCCCAGTAGGAGCAGTCCTCCATAGGAATGAATGGAATTCATTGTTTCAAGGACAAAATTAAATGTATTTAAGTATTTTTGTTGTTTTAGTGGGGACAGTAACATGAATCATCTCAAAAAATTATACTTTAGGAAATGTTTTAATATATTTGTAAAAAAAAAAAATTGTTTAGCTCACAGTTAAAAGTAAGCATTACAGTGTCTATAATAGAATGTGGCAAAAACGAATGTAGAAATTAATAAATGCATTTCTAAAGCTTCCAAAATATTTTGTTTACAATTGTGGGGGAGTGCCAATATGGAGGCACAGTGGCTTCAACACAGAGCCCCATAGGGCCCCGTGTAGCTCAGTTGGTAGAGGATGGCACTTGCAATGCCAGGGTTGTGGGTTCGTTTCCCACGGGGGACCAGTATGGAAAATTTATGCACTCACTAACTGTAAGTCGCTCTGGATAAGAGCATATAAATGACTAAAAACGGGAGCGATTTCAGTGCCAACAGAAACAGCATTTGAATTAAATATTTTTTGCATTTGGAATTTGAATGTAATATTTTGGAATTTGTAATGCACAAATTGATTAATTGAATTCATAAATTGAATTTGTATTTCATGGTTTGAAACTGAATTGAATTAACATTGCATTCAGTTTTAAATGTTTTTAATTACATTTTCAAATTCAATATTTATTCAGGTTCAGTATGGTCTCGATACAATTGTTTGTATCGAGTTTACAAACTATAATTTCAAGTTTCTCAAAGTTTAATATATTCAACTTCTCAGACGCATTCAGATTCATCAAAAAAAGTTCAATAAATTCAGATTAAAACCAGAGACGACATTCTGGTACGTTTCCAGCAAGGAATGATAGAAGAGAACAGATAGAATCAAAAACGCTCTCTGTATTAAACAGGTTTCTGGTGGTTCCTGAAGCCAATGTGGCATGTTTAATTTATTTTCTTCCTGTGAATTTGGCTCTAGCGTTTGGACTATAAGCTACTATGACCCCATTCCTGAAAGCTAAGACTCTCTGGAGCATGGCCGTGCCTTCTGTTCCCCTCTAGACACGTTTATAAGGGAGTAAAAAATAATTAATTACGGAGTAAAAAGAATAGCCCTGTCTTAGCCCCATAGCACTTCCTAATTAATGTCACGACTGTGTTAGCCCACTTAGCTAAAGCCGATAGGGACGAGTTCAGGAAGCTAACACAAGTCTTCGGCAAGGTTACTCATGAAAAGAGCGTGGACCCCGGATACATTTCACCCCCCCCCCCCCTTTGACCTCCTACTCAGAGATCACGGCACCAATATAGCTGACTGGATATAGCTGACTGGATATAGCTGACTGGATATAGCTGACTGGATATAGCTGACTGGATATAGCTGACTGGATATAGCTGACTGGATATAGCTGACTGGATATAGCTGACTGGATATAGCTGACTGGTATTGGCTGACTGGATATAGCTGACTGGATATAGCTGAGACCCATCCAAGTCACAGAACCAATGCCTAGGCTTTAGCTCAGTAGGCTAACAGTCTTAACCCAGTCAGTCACGTTACCCTTATAATGTGTACCGTTGCCGGAGACGTGTCCAACTAACACGAGTATCTCATCACGTAAACATGGGTCACCAAACCACGCTGTTGTGATGAGTAACCTTGCTGGATCTTGAAGACTGGTATTAGTGTAGCAGATGGGGATCTGTGACAACTCACTCCTCAGCCTGAAGTTTTGCCCCTTGCGCAATTGAAGAAGGCCTTAAAAAAAAAAAAAGTTTGATGGGTTGGTATGCAACCGGAGGTGGGGGGTCGCGTTTGTTTTCAAGGCAAAGGTCCTGAGTTTCAGTCTCCGTATGAGCTGAATCAGGAAGAAGCGGTACTCGCTGAGTAAGCAGCGTGTCGTCCTTTACATTAACTTCCAGATCTCATCCCTGTGGGCTTTAGCTAAGCGGGATAACATAGTCTTGTGACATGCAGGAGCGCTGGTTCAAACCCAGTCAGTCACAACAACATTTACATTTGACATTTTAGTCATTTAGCAGACGCTCTTATCCAGAGCGACTTACAGTTAGTGAGTGCATACATTATTATTTTTTATATATTTTTTATACTGGCCCCCCACGGGAAACGAACCCACAACCTTGGCGTTGCAAACGCCATGCTCTACCAACTGAGCCAAATCCCTGCCAGCCATTCCCTCCCCTACCCTGGACGACGCTGGGCCAATTGTGCGCCGCCTCATGGGTCTCCCGGTCGCGGCCGGCTACGACAGAGCCTGGATTCGAACCAGGATCTCTAGTGGCACAGCTAGCACTGCGATACAGTGCCTTAGACCACTGCGCCACTCGGGAGACCCAACAAGGTGGGAAAGCTATCCTTAGAATGGCTATGACGGGGCTATTCAACTATATTGTTATGGGGGCCAAAATTGTGGTTCCCTTCTGCGCATCCTATTTGTATTTATTATGGACCCCCATTACTTCCTGCCAAGAAGAGCACCAGCTGTTCCGGATGACTGTGTGATCACGCTCTCCGTAGCCGATGTGAGTAAGACTTTTTAAGCAGGTCAACATTCACAAGGCCGCAGGGCCAGACGGATTACCAGGACGTGTACTCCGAGCATGTGCTGACCAACTGGCAAGTGTCTTCACTGACATTTTCAACATGTCCCTGACTGAGTCTGTAATACAAACATGTTTCAAGCAGACCACCATAGTCCCCGTGCCCAAGGACACTAAGATAACCTGCCTAAATGACTACCGACCCATGGCACTGACGTCTGTAGCCATGAAGTGCTTTGAAAGGCTGGTCATGGCTCACATCAACACCATTATCCCAGAAACCCTAGACCCACTCCAATTTGCATACCGCCCCAACAGATCCACAGATGATGCAATCTCTATTGCACTCCACACTGCCCTTTCCCACCTGGACAAGAGGAACACCTACGTGAGAATGCTATTCATTGACTACAGCTCAGCATTCAACACCATAGTGCCCTCAAAGCTCATCACTAAGCTAAGGATCCTGGGACTAAACACCTCCCTCTACAACTGGATCCTGGACTTCCTGACGGGCCGCCCCCAGGTGGTAAGGGTAGGTAACAACACATCTGCCACACTGATCCTCAACACGGGGGCCCCTCAGGGGTGCGTGCTCAGTCCCCTCCTGTACTCCCTGTTCACCCATGACTGCATGGCCAGGCACGACTCCAACACCATCATTAAGTTTGCAGACGACACAACAGTGGTAGGCCTGATCACCGACAACGATGAGACAGCCTATAGGGAGGAGGTCAGAGACCTGGCCGTGTGGTGCCAGGATAACAACCTCTCCCTCAACGTGACCAAGACAAAGGAGATGATTGTGGACTACAGGGAAAAAAAAGAGGACTGAGCACGCCCTCATTCTCATCGACCGGGCTGTAGTGGAACAGGTTGAGAGCTTCAAGTTCCTTGGTGTCCACATCACCAACAAACTATCATGGTCCAAACACACCAAGACAGTTGTGAAGAGGGCACGACAAAGCCTATTCCCCCCCAGGAGACTGAAAAGTTTTGGCATGGGTCCTCAGATCCTCAAAAAATTCTACAGCTGCACCATCGAGAGCATCCTGACTGGTTGCATCACCGCCTGGTATGGCAACTGCTCGGCCTCCGACCGCAAGGCACTACAGAGGGTAGTGTGTACGGCCCAGTACATCACTGGGGCCAAGCTTCCTGCCATCCAGGACCTCTATACCAGGCGGTGTCAGAGGAAGGCCCTCAAAATTGTCAGACTCCAGCCACCCTAGTCACTCTCTGCTACCGCACGGCAAGCGGTACCGGAGCTCCAAGTCTAGGTCCAAAATACTTCTCAACAGCTTCTACCCCCAAGCCATAAGACTCCTGAACAGCTAATCATGGCTACCCAGACTATTTGCACTGCCCCCCCACCCCATCTTTTTACGCTGCTGCTACTCTGTTAATTATTTATGCATAGTCACTTTAACTCTACCCACATGTACATATAACTTCAACTACCTCAACTAGCCGGTGCCCCCGCACATTGACTCTGCACCGGTACCCTCCCTGTATATATAGCCTCCCTACTGTTATTTTATTTTACTTCTGCTCTTTTTTCTCAACGCTTTTTTGTTGTTTTATTTTACTTTTTTATTAAAAATAAATGCACTGTTGGTATTTTTTTATTCTGTACCGGCTTCCTTCTTTTCACTCTGTCATTTAGGTTAGTATTGTGAAGTAACTACAATGTTGTTGATCCATCCTCAGTTTTCTCCTATCACAGCCATTAAACTCTGTAACTGTTTTAAAGTCACCATTGGCCTCATGGTGAAATCCCTGAGCAGTTTCCTTCCTCTCCGGCAACTGAGTTAGGAAGGACACCTGTATCGTTGTAGTGGCTGGGTGTATTGATACACCATTCAAAGTGTAATTAATAATTTCACCATGCTCAAAGGGAATTTCAATGTCCGCTTTTTTTTATTTTTACTCATCTACTAATAGGTGCCCTTTGTGAGGCATTGGAAAACCTCCCTGGTCTTTGTGGTTGAATCTGTGTTTGAAATACACTGCTCGACTGAGGGACCTTACAGATAATGTTATGTCTTGCACACAGAGTGAGTCCATGCAACTTATTAGGTGACCTTGTTAAGCCCATTTTTACCCCTGAACTTATTTAGGCTTGCCATAACAAAGGGGTTGAATACTTATTGACTCAAAACATTTCAGCTTTTAATTTGTAATTCATCAAAAAAAAAAAAAAAAAATATATATATATATATATATATGAAAACATATTTCGACTTTGACATTATGGGGTATTGTGTGTAGGCTAGTGACACAAAATCTCAATGTAATCCACTTTCGGAAGGCACTGTATAAGAGCGGTTGGGTCCAGCAGAAGACCAATTTCTGTTTCGTACGGAAAGTGTTATTTTTCTTTTAATTTGTTCCGTCGCTTCCCTTTCAGGCTCCCAGCTGAATACACAACTGGAAGGTTGGTTGTCTCAAGCCCAGTCCACTGTCACACCAGCCAGAGCAATCATAGCACCGTAAGCACCACTGGTCGTTGTGATATCTGTCATGTGAAAAGGCCTCATCTTGTCGTCAAGAGTCACTCTCTAAATATGATTTTTGATAACGGCGTATGAATGACTCAAATGTAAATGTAGTGATGGGGGCAGTGGCAGGTCAAAGGTCGTCCTCAAAGGATGTCGTCTTTTCTATTGTTCCAGTCTCCCGAGTGGCGCTGTGGTCTAAGGCACTGCGTCGCAGTGCTAGCTGTGCCACTAGAGATCCTGGTTCGAATCCAGGCTCTGTCGTAGTCGGCCGCGACCGGGAGACCCATGGGGCGGCGCAGAATTGGCCCAGCGTCGTCCAGGGTAGGGGAGGGAATGGCCGGCAGGGATGTAGCTCAGTTGGTAGAGCATGGCGTTTGCAACGCCAGGGTTGTGGGTTCAATTCCCACAGGGGGCCAGTATGAAAAAAAAATATTACAAAAATGTATGCACTCACTAACTGTAAGTCGGTCTGGATAAGAGCGTCTGCTAAATGACTAAAAATGTAAATGTAAATGTAATGGTGTCTTGCTGCCATGATGTCACTTCCTCCTAACAGATATCTGTGATTTCAGGCATGCAGGGTATTCCTACTGTGGCGCTTGTGCTGCACACGCATACAAACAGATAGACCCTTCTGTCACGTAAGTCATTTAACCTCGTTTACAGTTACATTACAAATGTTCAGTGAATTTTTAATAAATAAAACAACTTTTTTTGTCAGTAACGAAATGAATTTCCATGTAGAAGTATCATCACATTATATATCGAAATTAGATGGTTTTAAAATGTAAATGTATTGTTTTTCGTTTCTACATTTTCCCTCCTTATCAAACCTTAGATCTGCCTGCCCTGTTTCACCCTGAAGGAACTATCCGCCCTTAGTTACCTCAGACAGAGAGTATTTAGCGGTATTGGCCTAGCCTCTGTCACGGCTTCACCTTGGAACAACGTGAGCGAAAAGCCTGGCTACTAATGGCCCGGTGAATGGTCCACTGAGCTGCTAATGTGAGTCAGAGAGGTAAAAGGTGACAGAGTCCTCTCTTCCCCCCTGTAGTCGCAGGGTGTTCATCTTGGGTCCGTCTCACCACGTTCCTCTGTCCCGCTGTGCCCTGTCATCTGCTGAGGTTTATAAAACCCCTCTCTACGACCTCCGGATTGACCAGAACGGTAGGTACGCACGCACACACACACACACACACACACACACACACACACACATATATATACACACATACACACACACACGTTCTGTGCCCTGTCCTCTGCTGAGGTTCATAAAACCCCTCTCTACGACCTCCGGATTGACCAGAATGGTAGGTACACGCACACACACACACACACACACACACACACACACACGTTCTGTGCCCTGTCCTCTAATGAATGGTTTATAACACTGCTCGACGACCTCCGGATTGACCAGACGGGGTAATTTTCTAGTTTTCCTAATGTCAAGAACCTTGTTTTTGATGTTTCTGTGTTGTATTTTGCCTTTTAAACTTCGAAGCTTGACACTTGTAGAAAAAAACAAAAAACGTAAATGTCCTCAGGGGACCAACCGTCTGACTGACACTGGAAAAGAGACATTCTCACTGACGAACAAACAAACCAAACAAGCTGCAGTGTGTCTAGTAGGTGTGGACCGGTTCACCAAACCTACAGTTCGGTATGTATTGCGGTTTTGGGATCACGGTTCGGTTTCAGTACAGCGGGAAAATGAAATGCCAACAGTTACTGTAGTTCATTATAGTTTATTAAAAAAATTTAAAAAATACAAAGTGTTGGTATTCCTGATTTTGTGAAAACACACGATTACTCATCAACAACACTAAAATAAAGTGCGATATGCGTGTGTAAAGGCTGTAATGTTTTTCTTACAAAGAAAAGACGACGCACGCTTGTGACTCTCATAAAGGGGGCGTGTCTGTAGCGTGGTGCTTGTCATTTCCCACTCCAGGGTCATGTGATGTAGCTCTCTGTAGCCCCGCAGGTCCATCCATCTGTAGGAAAGGCAACACAGGGTGCGTTGGCCAATTCACTGACAACTTCGGCTTTAGCTTGCTTATATAGAAGCAGGTAATAGCTGTTTGCTGAAATGGGTGGGAGAAGGAAGTTCCTAACGTGGCTCGAGCTGAAGCCTCCTGTTCCTCTCGACCACTGAGAAAGGCGTGGCATATCCGCGGCAAAAACACCTATCGCTCTTGTAATTTCTTCGGCCCGGTCAGAATCAGCTGCCAAGGGCTGCTTGACTGCAGAGGGGAGACGATGTTGTGTTGTAGTTTCTTTGCGTTTCCGTCATGCTCCGGTATACTGGGGTGATGTCGGCAAAAATGTGTCAACCTGTTTTGAGATGTTGGCAGCTGCAGAGGCTATTCTCGTTGAGCGTGGCGACATACTGTTAACCTTTTATCCACAACTCTCTGTCCATCGGCGTTGGAATCTACTGGGAAGCCAAAATGTTCCCAAACTGGAGATTTTAAACGATGATGGAGAAATCCTCCTGGTTTATCAACCCCCACCACTCGCCATCGTACAGAACTAGTTCCCCGCTGCGCCTCACAAAAGGACAGTTTGAAATGCACCAGTTAAGATTTGATTACAATGTCTGCATAGGCTGTAGTTGTTTTAACTGAATAGCCTGAAATGTTTTTTCAGCTCAATGTACTCGGCAGCGTACAAGGCAGCGTAGTCTATTGGCTGAGGGTTCTTATTGTTATGTATTCATTTGGGTTCACAGTGCGGACCGAACCCAGGTCCCGTACCAGAACGGTTCAGGACAAATACATGCTAAGGACTAGCAGTAATATGCTAATTCAAGCCTTACTTGGCCAGTAATAATTCATGTGCATATTGAATCCTCACTCTCTCTCTCTCTCTCTCTCCCTCTCTCTCTCTCTCTGGTCTCTCTTCTCTCTCTCTGGTCTCCCTCTCCTCTCTCTCTCCTGTCCTTCTCTCTCCTCTCTCCGGGACTCTCTCTCCTCTGTCTCTCTCTCACTCTCGCCTCTCTCACTCCTTCACTCTTCTCTCTCTCTCTCTCATGTCTCTTCTCTCTCGCTCTATGTCTCTCATCCTCTCTCTTTCTCTCTTTTCTCCTCTCGTCTCCTCTCTCCTTCTCTCTGTCTCTCTGTCTCTCTGTCCTCCTCTGTCTCTCTGTCCATCTCTGGTCGCTCGGTCTCTTCTGTCTCTCCTCTTCTCGTGTCGTCTCTCTCTCTGTCTCTCTCTCTCTCCCTCCCCCTCTCTCTCTCTAGTCTACGCTGACCTCTGGAAGACTGGGATGTTTGAGAGGATGAGTCTTCAGACAGACGAGGATGAGCACAGCATTGAAATGCACCTGCCTTACACTGCTAAAGCCATGGAGAGGTAAGACAGAGGAACTAGCTAAAAGGATGTCTGCTTCAATAATCACAAGCAGAGAGGACAGTAATACAGGCCTGAGAGGCTGCAGGGATTCGTGACCAATAGAGGAGAGCTGTGGGTCAGTAATGACTGGTTTGCCTTGACATTTTGTGTAGTTCTCTCTCGCGGTCTCCCCCAGCCCCAGGATGGTTTGAGTCATTACTATGGTTTATGATTGATTGTTTACTAATGAAATAAGGCCTGCATGCTCAATTAATGGACCCACTCAATAAACACACACACACCTTGTGTTAGGTTGGTTTAATAAACACACACATACAGTTGAAGTCGGAAGTTTACATACACTTATGTTGGAGTCATTAAAACTTGTTTTTCAACCACTCCACAAATTTCTTGTTAACAAACTATAGTTTTGGCAAGTCGGTTAGGACATCTACTTTGTGTTTGACACAAGTAATTTTTCCAACAATTGTTTACAGACAGATTATTTCACTTATAATTCACTGTATCACAATTCCAGTGGGTCAGACGTTTACATTCACTAAGTTGACTGTGCCTTTAAACAGCTTGGAAAATTCCAGAAAATGATGTCATGGCTTTAGAAGCTTCTGATAGGCTAATTGACATCATTTGAGTCAATTGGAGGTGTACCTGTGGATGTATTTCAAGGCCTACCTTCAAACTCAGTGCCTCTGCTTGACATCATGGGAAAATCAAAAGAAATCATCCAAGACCTCAGAAAAAAAATGGTAGACCTCCACAAGTCTGGTTCATCCTTGGGAGCAATTTCCAAACGCCTGAAGGTACCACGTTCATCTGTACAAACAATAGTACGCAAGTATAAACACCATGGGACCATGCAGCCGTCATACCGCTCAGGAAGGAGACGCGTTCTGTCTCTTAGAGATGAACGTACTTTGGTGCGAAACGTGCAAATCAATCCCAGAACAACAGCAAAGGGACCTTGTGAAGATGCTGGAGGAAACAGGTACAAAAGTATCTATATCCACAGTAAAACGAGTCCTATATTAACATAACCTGAAAGGCCGCTCAGTAAGGAAGAAGCCACTGCTCCAAATCCGCCATAAAAAAGCCAGACTACGGTTTGAAACTGCACATGGGGACAAAGATCGTACTTTTTGGAGAAATGTCATCTGGTCTGATGAAACAACAATAGAACTGTTTGGCCATAATGACCATTGTTATGTTTAGAGGAAAAGGGGGAAGGCTTGCAAGCCGAAGAACACCATCCCAACCATGAAGCACGGGGGTGGCAGCATCATGCTGTGGGGGTGCTTTGCTGCAGGAGGGACTGGTGCACTTCACAAAATAGATGGCATCATGAGGAAGGAAAATTATGTGGATATATTGAAGCAACATCTCAAGACATCAGTCAGGAAGTTTAAAGCTTGGTCGCAAATGGGTCTTCCAAATGGACAATGACCCCAAGCATACTTCCAAAGTTGTGGCAAAATGGCTTAAAGACAACAAAGTCAAGGTATTGGAGTGGCCATCACAAAGCCCTGACCTCAATCCTATAGAACATTTGTGGGCAGAACTGAAAAGGTGTGTGCGAGCAAGGAGGCCTACAAACCTGACTCAGTTACACCAGCTCTGTCAGGAGGAATGGGCCAAAATTCACCCAACTTATTGTGGGAAGCTTGTGGAAGGGAACCCGAAACGTTTGACCCAAGTTAAACAATTTAAAGGCAATGCTACCAAATACTAATTGAGTGTATGTAACCTTCTGACCCACAGGGAACGTGATGAAAGAAATAAAAGCTGAAATAAATAATTCTCTCTACTATTATTCTGACATTTCACATTCTTAAAATAAAGTGGTGATCCTAACTGACCTAAGACAGGGAATTCTTACTAGGATTAAATGTCAGGAATTGTGAAAAACTGAGTTTAAATGTCTTTGGCTAAGGTGTATGTAAACTTCCGACTTCAACTGTACCTTGTGTTTGGTTGGTTTTAATAAACGCACACCTTTTTTATTAGGTTGGTTTAATAAACACACCTTTTTATTAGGTTGGTTTAATAAACACTCACCTTTTTATTAGGTTGGTTTAATAAACACTCACCTTTTTATTAGGTTGGTTTACAAGTGTTCAGTCCCTGTAAAAGCTTCTACCATCTTGGTCAGGTAACGGTCCCCAGTACATCACACACATACGGACTTGTAATATGTCGTCTCCCTCTCCTACTACAGCCATAAAGATGAGCTCAGCATTGTCCCGGTGCTGGTGGGAGCCCTCAGTGAATCTAAAGAACAGGACTATGGGAAACTGCTCAGCAGGTATCTGGCTGATCCCTCCAACTTGTTCATCATCTCCTCTGACTTCTGCCACTGGGGTACGTACTGAGAAGGACTGGTAGGGATCAATATTATACCCTGTTCACGCTACTGAGTTGAGCTAGTCTGGCTATACATCTATCCACCGTAGTTGCTGGAACTGTGCTGGAAAGATAACGTGAAAAGAAAAGCCAGCACTGTTTAGTTTGGTTCAGGGCAATCGTGTGAAAGGCGTTCTAAATATAGAAACAATGGTTCTGTCTCCTTCAGGGTTGGGTTCTGTCTCCTTCAGGGTTGGGTTCTGTCTCCTTCAGGGTTGGGTTCTGTCTCCTTCAGGGTTGGGTTCTGTCTCCTTCAGGGTTGGGTCTGACTTAATATCTGTCCCTCCTCCCCACAGGCCAACGGTTCCGCTACACCTACTATGACGAGGCTCAAGGAGAGATCCACAGATCCATTGAACACCTTGATAAAATGGTTAACAACACATTCTGATATTCACTTCCACACTAGGTTGTAACACCACACTTCTCATATCGCTTCATTGATATGATTGAGACCACCCCTCTCTCTCTCCAGGGTTAGGGTTAGATAGCTAACTGTTAGGTGTATCAGGCTGGGTTCTGAACCCCTCTCTCTCTCCAGGGTTAGGGTTAGATAGCTAACTGTTAGGTGTATCAGGCTGGGTCCTGAACCCCTCTCTCTCTCCAGGGTTAGGGTTAGATAGCTAACTGTTAGGTGTATCAGGCTGGGTTCTGAACCCCTCTCTCTCTCCAGGGTTAGGGTTAGATAGCTAACTGTTAGGTGTATCAGGCTGGGTTCTGAACCCCTCTCTCTCTCCAGGGTTAGGGTTAGATAGCTAACTGTTAGGTGTATCAGGCTGGGTTCTGAACCCCTCTCTCTCTCCAGGGTTAGGGTTAGATAGCTAACTGTTAGGTGTATCAGGCTGGGTCCTGAACCCCTCTCTCTCTCCAGGGTTAGGGTTAGATAGCTAACTGTTAGGTGTATCAGGCTGGGTCCTGAACCCCTCTCTCTCTCCAGGGTTAGGGTTAGATAGCTAACTGTTAGGTGTATCAGGCTGGGTCCTGAACCCCTCTCTCTCTCCAGGGTTAGGGTTAGATAGCTAACTGTTAGGTGTATCAGGCTGGGTCCTGAACCCCTCTGTCTTGTCTCTCCAGGGTTAGGGTTAGATAGCTAACTGTTAGGTGTATCAGGCTGGGTTCTGAACCCCTCTGTCTTGTCTCTCCAGGGTTAGGGTTAGATAGCTAACTGTTAGGTGTATCAGGCTGGGTTCTGAACCCCTCTGTCTCTCCAGGGTTAGGGTTAGATAGCTAACTGTTAGGTGTATCAGGCTGGGTTCTGAACCCCTCTCTCTCTCCAGGGTTAGGGTTAGATAGCTAACTGTTAGGTGTATCAGGCTGGGTTCTGAACCCCTCTGTCTTGTCTCTCCAGGGTTAGGGTTAGATAGCTAACTGTTAGGTGTATCAGGCTGGGTTCTGAACCCCTCTGTCTTGTCTCTCCAGGGTATGGGCATTATAGAAACACTGGACCCCATGTCCTTCACCAACTACTTGAAGAAATACCACAACACCATCTGTGGACGTCATCCTATTGGAGTGCTGCTAAACGTGAGTCATAACGAGTACAACAACGACCATACGGGTACAACAACGACCATACGGGTACAACAACGACCATACGGGTACAACAACGACCATACGGGTGCAACAACGACCATACGGGTACAACAACGACCATACGGGTACAACAACGACCATACGGGTACAACAACGACCATACGGGTACAACAACGACCATACGGGTACAACTACGACCATACGGGTACAACTACGACCATACGGGTACAACAACGACCATACGGGTACAACAACGACCATATCAGTATAGCATCAGGCATACGATAATCTGATATCTACCTTTTCTTAGTTACACACTTCTTCTTGCACACAGGGCTGTGTTATGTGATGTACCAGTCAAAAGTTTGGACACACCTACTCATTCAAGAGTTTTTTTTCTATATTTGTACTATTTTCTACATTGTAGAATAATAGTGAAGACATCAAACCTATGAAATAACACATATGGAATCATGTAGTAACCGAAAAAGTATTAAACAAATCAAAATATATTTTATATTTGAGATTCTTCAAATAGTCACCCTTTGCCTTGATGACAGCTTTGCACACTCTTGGCATTCTCTCAACCAGCTTCATGAGGTAGTCACCTGGAATGCATTTCAATTAACAGGTGTGCCTTGTTAAAAGTTAATTTGTGGAATTTCTTTCCTTCTTAATGTGTTTGAGCCAATCAGTTGTGTTGTGACAAGATAGGGGTGGTATACAGAAGATAGCCCTATTTGGTAAAAGACCAAATCCATATTATGGCAAGAACAGCTCAAATAAGCAAAGAGAAACGACAGTCCATCATTACTTTAAGACATGAAGGTCAGTCAATACGTAAAATGTCAAGAACTTTGAAAGTTTCTTAAAGTGCAGTCGCAAAAACCATCAAGCGCTATGATGAAACTGGCTCTCATGAGGACCGCCACAGGAATGGAAGACCCAGAGTTACCTCTGCTGAAGAGGATAAGTTCATTCGAGTTACCAGCCTCAGAAATTGCAGCCAAAATAAATGCTTCACAGAGTTCAAGTAACAGACACATCTCAACATCAACTGTTCAGAGGGGACTGTGTGAATCAGAACTTCATGGTTGAATTGCTGCAAAGAAACCACTACTAAAGGACACCAATAAGAAGAAGAGACTTGCTTGGGCCAAGAAACACGAGCAATGGACATTAGACCGGTGGAGATTTGTCCTTTGGTCAGGAGTCCAAATTGGAGATTTTTGGTTCCAACCGCCGTGTCTTTGTGAGACGCAGAAGCATGGAGGAGGAGGTGTTATGGTGTGGGGGTGCTTTGCTGGTGACACTGTCTGTGATTTATTTAGAATTCAAGGCACACTTAACCGGCATGGCTACCACATCATTCTACAGTGATACGCCATCCCATCTGGTTTGGGTTTAGTGGGACTATCATTTGTTTTTCAACAGGACAATGACCCAACACACCTCCAAGCTGTGTAAGGGCTATTTGACCAAGAATGAGAGTGATGGAGTGCTGCATCAGATGACCTGGCCTCCACAATCACCTGACCTCAACCCAATTGAGATGGTTTGGGATGAGTCGGACCACAGTGTGAAGGAAAAGCAGCCAACAAGTGCTCAGCATATGTGGGAACTCCTTCAAGACTGTTGGAAAAGCATTCCAGGTGAAGCTGGTTAAGAGTGTGCAAAGCTGTCATCAAGGCAAAGGGTGGCTATTTGAAGATTCTGAAATATAAAATAATATTTTGATTTGTTTAACACTTTTTTGGTTACTACATGATTCCATATGTGTTATTTCATAGTTTTGATGTCTTCACTATTATTCTACAATGTAGAAAATAGTAAAAATAAAAAAACCCTTGAATGAGTAGGTGTGTCCAAACTTTTGACTGGTAGTGTGTATCTGACTGTTCCTGTGTCATGTGACGTGTATCTGACTGTTCCTGTGTCATGTGACGTATATCTGACTGTTCCTGTGTCATGTGACGTATATCTGACTGTTCCTGTGTCATGTGACGTGTATCTGACTGTTCCTGTGTCATGTGACGTGTATCTAACTGTTCCTGTGTCATGTGACGTGTATCTGACTGTTCCTGTGTCATGTGACGTGTATCTGACTGTTCCTGTGTCATGTGACGTGTATCTGACTGTTCCTGTGACGTGTATCTGACTGTTCCTGTGTCATGTGACGTGTATCTGACTGTTCCTGTGTCATGTGACGTGTATCTGACTGTTCCTGTGTCATGTGACGTGTATCTGACTGTTCCTGTGTCATGTGACGTGTATCTGACTGTTCCTGTGTCATGTGACGTATATCTGACTGTTTCTGTGTCATGTGACGTATATCTGACTGTTCCTGTGTCATGTGACGTGTATCTGACTGTTCCTGTGTCATGTGACGTGTATCTGACTGTTCCTGTGTCATGTGACGTGTATCTGACTGTTCCTGTGTCATGTGACGTGTATCTGACTGTTCCTGTGTCATGTGACGTGTATCTGACTGTTCCTGTGTCATGTGACGTGTATCTGACTGTTTCCTGTGCCATGTGACGTGTATCTGACTGTTCCTGTGTCATGTGACGTGTATCTGACTGTTCCTGTGTCATGTGACGTGTATCTGACTGTTCCTGTGTCATGTGACGTGTATCTGACTGTTCCTGTGTCATGTGACGTATATCTGACTGTTCCTGTGTCATGTGACGTGTATCTGACTGTTTCTGTGTCATGTGACGTATATCTGACTGTTCCTGTGTCATGTGACGTATATCTGACTTCCTGTGTCATGTGACGTGTATCTGACTGTTCCTGTGTCATGTGACGTGTATCTGACTGTTCCTGTGTCATGTGACGTGTATCTGACTGTTCCTGTGTCATGTGACGTGTATCTGACTGTTCCTGTGTCATGTGACGTGGATCTGACTGTTCCTGTGTCATGTGACGTGGATCTGACTGTTCCTGTGTCATGTGACGTGGATCTGACTGTTCCTGTGTCATGTGACGTGGATCTGACTGTTCCTGTGTCATGTGACGTGGATCTGACTGTTCCTGTGTCATGTGACGTGTATCTGACTGTTCCTGTGTCATGTGACGTGTATCTGACTGTTCCTGTGTGTGATTGGTTGTGTTTTCCAGGCTGTGTCTGAGCTGAGGAAGAGTGGAACAGAGATGAACTTCTCCTTCCTAAACTATGCCCAGTCGTCCCAGTGCAGGAACTGGCAGGACAGCTCTGTTAGCTACGCAGCCGGGGCCCTCATTGTACATTGATGTGGTCCACCTCAAACGTGTTCCCATTGGCACCCTATTCCCCATTACACTGCACTACTTTTGACCAGGGCCCATGGTAGCCTTGTCCATAGGCTCCTGCCCTATGGGCCATTCCGGCTATCTCCTGATTCTGTAGTGTGAGGCAGCTTGATATACAAGTCCACCCCCCCTGGACAGGACGCTAGTCTTATCGCAGGGTCCATAGGACTCTGGTCATAGTGCACTAGGTAATAGGGTGCAATTTGGGACGCATCCCTTTCGAAGGGCTACTGCAGCTCTGAACCCCTGAACCTCTATCGTCATAACGACGACCTGGACACACCCTAACTCCGCTAGCCAATGAGAAGAGCTATTATATCCACAGCACCCCTCCCTGCCTCCCCCTCTCCCCAGTTGTGAGTCGGGAGAGTTTTTTTTTCTTTCAGTCTTAACTTTTGCTTGAAGTTGCAGTTTCTGAGATTGGTGAGGAGGGAAGGAGTGTTGTAGGGGGTAAGGGGGTGTATTTGGGGGTCTTGTAAGTGGGGGTGTATTTGGGGGTCTTGTAGGGGGTAAGAGGGTGAATTTGGGGGTCTTGTATGGGTTTAAGGGGGGTGTATTTGGGGGTCTTGTAGGGGGTAAGAGGGTGAATTTGGGGGTCTTGTATGGGGTTAAGGGGGGTGTATTTGGGGGTCTTGTAAGTGGGGGTATATTTGGGGGTCTTGTAGGGGGTAAGAGGGTGAATTTGGGGGTCTTGTGGGTAATTTTGGGGGTCTTGTAGGGGGTTAAAGGGGGTGTATTTGGGGGTCTTGTAGGGGGTTAAGGGGGGTGTATTTGGGGGTCTTGTAGGGGGTTAAGGGGGGTGTATTTGGGGGTCTTGTAGGACTTACTAAATGAATAATAAATGAACTGCAGATGGAAATGGAAAATAGTGTTTTGACTGACTGCTTTACAAGCTATGATAATGTCCCTGTAGTAATACCCTGGCTAGAGTCCCAAATGCCACCCTATTCGCACAACCTTTGACCGGCCCCCTTAGGGTGCAATTTGGGACACACTGAGAATAGCATCCCAGGTAGCTACTAGCTACCACTGTTGTTTAACATAATGAAGCCTACTATTGTAGTTGCTAACAAAGGGTTGCACACAAGGGGCGTCCCAAATGCCACCCTGTTGCCTATATAGTGCACTTCCCTAATTAGTGTCGTTCCCAAATGGCACCCTGTTGCCTATATAGTGCACTTCCCTAATTAGTGTCGTTCCCAAATGCCACCCTGTTGCCTATATAGTGCACTTCCCTAATTAGCGTAATTCCCAAATGGCACCCTGTTGCCTATATAGTGCACTTCCCTAATTAGTGTCGTTCCCAAATGGCACCCTGTTGCCTATATAGTGCACTTCCCTAATTAGTGTCGTTCCCAAATGGCACCCTGTTGCCTATATAGTGCACTTCCCTAATTAGTGTCGTTCCCAAATGGCACCCTGTTGCCTATATAGTGCACTTCCCTAATTAGTGTCGTTCCCAAATGGCACCCTGTTGCCTATATAGTGCACTTCCCTAATTAGTGTCGTTCCCAAATGGCACCCTGTTGCCTATATAGTGCACTTCCCTAATTAGGGTCGTTCCCAAATGGCACCCTGTTGCCTATATAGTGCACTTCCCTAATTAGCGTCATTCCCAAATGGCACCCTGTTGCCTATATAGTGCACTTCCCTAATTAGTGTCGTTCCCAAATGGCACCCTGTTGCCTATATAGTGCACTTCCCTAATTAGTGTCGTTCCCAAATGGCACCCTGTTGCCTATATAGTGCACTTCCCTAATTAGTGTCGTTCGGACATCCTGATCTCGCAAGCTTACATTCTGCTATGCGGACCTTATGAAAGATGGACGAAGTGAAACGAGAGAACAGCGGTCAGGACGGAGGATCAGGTCAAAGGTAGTGCACTCCAAAGGGAATAAGGTGCTATTTGGGATACGGCCAACCAGTTCACTAACTAACCCTCTGCTGTACAATACAACACATATATTAGACGTATAGTATGTTTGCTTTTTAATTTGTCTTTGAGACTGTTTACCTCCTAGCGTAATGATTCTACTCGTGTAGGTCTGCTCTCACCTAGTGCCCAGAAATATAATATCTCCCAATATGTCCACCAGTACACTGTAGAGTATATTACCTGTTCTGACCTGTTGTCCCCCTCTACCTTTGTCTGAGATGGTATCGCCCTGTTGTCCCCCTCTACCTTTGTCTGAGATGGTATCGCCCTGTTGTCCCCCTCTACCTTTGTCTGAGATGGTATCGCCCTGTTGTCCCCCTCTGCCTTTGTCTGAGATGGTATCGCCCTGTTGTCCCCCTCTGCCTTTGTCTGAGATGGTATCGCCCTGTTGTCCCCCTCTACCTTTGTCTGAGATGGTATCCACCTGTTGTCCCCCTCTACCTTTGTCTGAGATGGTATCGCCCTGTTGTCCCCCTCTACCTTTGTCTGAGATGGTATCGCCCTGTTGTCCCCCTCTACCTTTGTCTGAGATGGTATCGCCTGTTGTCCCCCTCTACCTTTGTCTGAGATGGTATCAACGTGTTGTCTCCTTACTTCAGCAGGGGAGAAGTGTATTCAACCAATCGGTACCAATTCTCTCCCCACCCTTTCCCCTCGGCTAAGACTTTGCTAACACCTTGCAGATCTACAAACATCGAAGGGCCAAAGGGAAGTGCTAGGGAGCGAATTGGGATTGGCCCTCAATTTACTGTCCCTGTTCAGGAGGATTCATATTTTTGTTCCTTATGTTTAACTGTTATTGTTTTTTGTATTTTTTTTGTATTCTGTTGCGTAAAGAGAGTGAAAGTTACTCCTCAGATTCACATTAAACCTCCATTTATAAAAATAATGAAGTATAACTCCCCAGAAGGAGTTTTTTAATCTCAGGTTAAACTGATTAAAGCATCTCTAAGACTATTTACGTAGGATTCATGTTACAAAAAAAAAAGAGTAAAATTGACTGAAAATATTTATTCTCTGGTGTCTTTTTCTTAAAGCATTCATCATACTTGTTCATAGTAAACTTAATAAAATGTTTTAGATGTTTTTAAGTTAAAGTAACAGCACTAAGACCAGGATTCAATCCCACCGCACTTTACAAATCAGCAGGGGATCAAATACTTTTTTCCCTCACTGAAGATGTCTGCATATAGCCAGTAGAGATCTACTTCATAGGCACTTTCATATTTTACCTTTTTTAATTGTTTTTATACCAGAGCAAAACTGCACCTAATTTATTGCAATACAGCCATTTCTTTAATGAACATGTTCCAGTAGAATCCTTCCAATTCTTCTAGAAGTATTCCCTTCAATCATCATTGTTAATCATAGCACCACAGTATACAGTATGTTTGGCTCATTGATTACAACTGTAAACACAACCAGCATAGCTAAATATACGCTACATGACCAAAAGTATGTGGACACCTGCTCGTCAAAAATCTCATTCCAAAATCATGGGCATTAATATGGAGTTGGTCCCCTCCTTTGCTGCTATAACAGCCTCCACTCTTCTGGGAAGACTTTCCACTAGATGTTGGAACATTGCTGTGGGGACTTGCTTCCATTCAGCCACAAGAGCATTAGTGAGGTTCGGGCACTGATGTTGGGAGATTAGGTCTGGCTCGCAGTCGGCGTTCCAATTCATCCCAAAGGTGTTCGATGGGGTTGAGGTCAGGGCTCTGTGCAGGCCAGTTAAGTTGTTCCACATCGATCTCGACAAACCATTTCAGTATGGACCTCGCTTTGTGCACAGGGGCATTGTCATGCTGAAACAGGAAAGGCCTTTCCCCAAACTGTTGCCACAAAGTTGGAAGCACAGAATAATCTAGAATGTCATTGTATGCTGTAGCGTTAAGATTTCCCTTCACTGGAACTAAGGAGCCTGAACCATGAAAAACAGCCCCAGACCATTATTCCTCCTCCACCAAACGTTACAGTTGGCACTGTGCATTGGGGCAGGTAGAGTTCTCCTGGCATCCGACAAACCCTGATTCGTTCATCGGACTGCCAGATGGTGAAGCGTGATTCATCACTCCAGAGAACGCGTTTCCACTGCTGCAGAGCCTAATGGTGGTGAGCTTTACACCACTCCAGCCGACGCTTGGCATTGCGCGTGGTGATCTTAGGCTTGTGTGCGGCTGCTCGGCCATGGAAACCCATTTCATGAAGCTCCAGACGAACAGTTATTGTGCTGATGTTGCTTTCAGAAGCAGTTTGGAGTGTTGCAACCGAGGACAGACGATTTTGATGCTCTACACGCTTCAGCACTTGGCGGTCCCGTTCTGTGAGCTTGTGTGGCCGACCACTTCACGGCTGAGCCGGTGTTGCTCCTAGACATTTCCACATCCCAATAACAGCAATTACAGTTGACCGGGGCAGCTCTAGCAGGGCAGAAATTTGACGAATTGACTTGTTGGAAAGGTGGCATCCTATGGCAGTGCCACCTTGAAAGTCACTAAGCTCTTCAGTAAGGCCATCCCACTGCCAATGTTTGTCTATGGAGATTGCATGGCGGTGTGCTCGATTTTATACACCTGTCAGCAATGGGTGTGGCTGAAATATCCAAATCCACTCATTTGAAGGGATGTCCACATACTTTTGACAATGTAATGTAGAACAACCCTACCAGTTAAGTACAACCAGTTTGCGTCTTTCTCAGTAAAACACAGCCAGTAGAGCTCTCTGGGTTGTCAAACTACACCGGAATGATAGCAGGGAAAAGGATGGGAGACAGAAGACCAGGAAATAACATGTTTATTTTTCATCAACAACGGTGGTTTTCTTGTCGTGATGTGAACATATTTAAATGTTGATATGGAACTCTGAAATATACCAGCAAATGTTTTGACCTATAAAAGACGTAACTAATAATATAATAATAATATGCCATTTAGCAGACGCTTTTATCCAAAGCGATTTGCAGTCATAGAACGTTCTAATCTAGGTATGACAACAGATGGAAAATGCTAACATCTAGTGTTGA